CTGTGCTTCAATCACTATTTCCCAGAGTAATTCTAACAAATGAAAACCATTGTTAATTGTTCCTTAGGTCCCTGCCCCTTAGAACTTTACTCAGCTAGTTGTTATGTCTACTGAGGCTTTATAATTCCTTTATTTGCATTTTAGAATAATTTATTTGAGAACCAGTTTGATTGTAAACCTTTTGAGGACAAGATCATTGTCTGCTGAATATATAATTTACATTTCTACTCCTGGTATGCATGAATAATTAAGAGATGGCCTGATACATCTCTTGGAGAAAGCAAGACAGAGAAAAAGAGTTACCAAGTATGAAGTACTTAACTGAATGCTTTATATACATCTTTTTATTTAATACTTCTCTTCAACTTTGAGGTATATATGTATTTACCCACATTTTTTAAAAGGAGAAAACTGGATCAGAGAGGTTAAGTGATTTGGACAATAGCATACAACTACCTATTGTTCTTAAGCTCTGACTCATAGCAACCCTGTACAGGGTTTCTGAGCCTGTAAATCTTTGTGGGAGCAGAAAGTCTCATCTTTATACTGTGGAGTGGCTGGTGGGCTCGAACTTCGGAACTTGTGATTCATAGTTCAGTGCTTATTGTATAGAACCACCATGTTCCCCATACAATCACTGCCAGAGACAATTTAAACTCAATGGTTTTTCTTCCTGAATGTATATTAGAACTAGGTAAACAAGTACAGTTTAACAAATATGAATAAAAGATGCTGATTTGAGTGCTTTCATTAACTGCTTAATTAAGAGGAAAGAAGAAAACTGCCTAGGCAGCAGATCTTGTGGGGGAAAAATGGAAGCATTAGTGGACACTGAGCTTGTTTGGACTCATGGTGTGGCTCTGTGGGATTACCACTGGATTTTGAACCACAGGTCAGCAGTTCAAACCCACCAGATGCTCCTCAGAAACACTATACAGAATTGCTATAGTTGGAACTGGTTCAAGGGCCCTTAACAAGAACAAAAATGTGATTGAGTACTTCAGTGAGATTCTCCTAAGTGACATGGCTACCAAAAAGCTTAGACCAATCTTCTGCTCTGCAAATAAAAATAACAACTATCAAGCATTTATTAACATTTACTAAGTGGCAGACACTGTTGTCAATTTTTAAGATATTATTATTGCTACTAGAATGGTCCATGAGAAAGCCCAAGTGTCCAAAAACACGTAGCCAAAATAACCAGACTTTGCAACCATGCTACATAATTATTGGTTAGATAAACTGGAAAGGTTTGCTCTGGAGCAGATTGAAGATGACATGATAGTTGTCTTAACTAGTTGAATGTTTTTAAGTTAGAAGAGAGATTTAGGCATAGGCATGGAATTAAGAGGTAGTGAGAGTTCCATTGCTAAGGGTATTCAAACAGATAATCCCTTCATTTCATTGGAAATCAACTAGTTAAATTCAAATTTTCCTTTAAACTTGGAGAGTTTAGGATTCATACGGAGTGCTGGTGTGGCCCTATAGGATAAGCACTGGACTGCTCCTAAGAAATACTATACAGGGCCTCATGAGATGGAACCAATTTAACCACCACCACTACAACAGGATGGAGTCCTGGTGTGGCGCTGTGGGCTAATGCATCAGACAGCAAAGTCCCTTGAACTGCAAGGTCGGTGGTTCAAGCTCACCAGCTACTCCTTGGAAACCCTATACAGGGTCGCTATGGGTTGGAATCGACTTGATGGCACTTAACAACAACACCAACCACCACAACAGGATTATAGGGAGTCTTGGTGTCGTGCTGTAGGATAGACACTGGATTGCTAACCTGGAGATCTTGGAAAACCCTATAGGGTCACTATGAGTTGGAACCTACTCTACAGTACTTAACAACAACAGGATTCACAAGTGTTATCATTATCAACAAATATACCAATATTTAAATACATAAATAATTGACCATGAGTTCTATGATTGGAGCCCAACATCCTCTCTACGAGAGAAAGATGAGACTTTCTGCTCCCGCAAAGATTTAAAACATCTGAAACCCTATACAGTCACTATTCAGAGGCTTTAAATCTACTGTAAACAGAAAACCTCATCTTGTTCTCCTGATGCGGCTGGTGGGCTCCAACCACACACGGCCCTGTGGTTTTCAGTCCAGTGCTTATTGTATGGACCCTTGCTCCCATATCTATATCTCTCTATATCTATCTATCTATCTATCTATCTATCTATCTATCTATCTATCTATCTATCTATCTCTATATATATGTTGCTGTGAAGTGTTACAAAATCGATTCTGACTGGTAGTGACCCGGTATACAGTTTCCAAGATGTGGCTGGTGAATTTGAACACTGACAGCGCCACACCAGGACACTCTTTAAATAATAATAATATACATTGTTGTTATTGTTGTCAGGTGCCATCGAGTCAGAACAGACTCATAGGGACCCCATGTACAGCAGAATGAAAATATGTCCAATCCTGGGCCAACCTCATTACCGCTGCCACAGTTGAGTCCATCAATGCTGCCACCTGGCCAATCCATCTTGTTGGGGGGGGGGTCTTCCTCTTTTTCTCCGACCCTCCATCTTACCAAGCATGATATCCTTCTCCAGAGACTGTTCCTTCCTGACAATATGTATAAACTATGAGAGACGAAGTTTGGCCATCTTGGCCTCTAAGGAGCACTCTGGCTGCAATTCTTCCAAAACAGAGCTATTGGTTCTTTTGGCAGTCCATGGCACTTTTAGTATTCTCCTCCAACACCACAATTTAAAGGCATCAATTCTTCTATGATCTTCCTTATTCACTGTCCAGCTTTCGCATCGATATGAGGTTATTGAAAATACCATGGCTTGGGTCAGGTGCACCTTAGTCCTCAAGCTGACATCTTTGCTCTTCAACACTTTAAAAAGGTCTTGTGCAGCAGATTTGCCTAATGCAATACTTCGTCTGATCTCTTGACTGCTGCTTCCATGAGTGTTGATAGTTGATCCAAGAAGAATGAAGTCCTTGACAACTTCAATCTTTTCTCCGTTGATAAGAATGTTGTTTATTGGTCCAGTGGTGAGGAGTTTTGTTTTCTTGACATTGAGATGTAATCCATACTGAGGGCTGTGGTCTTTGATCTTCATCAGTAAATGTTTTAAGTCCTCTTCACTTTCAGCAAGCAAGGTTGTATCATCTGCATATCACCGGTTGTTAATGAGTCTTCCTACAATCCTGATGCCACATTTTTCTTCATAGAACCCAGCTTCTTGTATTATTTGCTCAGCATACAGGTTGAATAAGTATGGTGAAAGCACACAACCTTGTTGCACACCTTTCCCAATTTTAAAACATTCAGTGTTCCCATGCTCTTTCAAACAACTGCTTCTTGGTCCAGGTACAGATTCCTCAGAAGTACAATGAAGTATTCTGGAAAATATATTATATATTATATAAATAATATTATATATATAATTATTATTTCATAAACCTTCTGGAACTACTGAAAGAACTTCCAAAGAGAGAAACATCAGTTTTCTAACGCTATTGTTAAGAAAAAGACTCACTTGGAAATTCCTGTTCAATTTGAACCCTTCTCAACATTGATTATTTTGTAATTCTATTACCAAGTTCAGGCTCTAGGTTTCTAAGTGCCATTACTTGTTTGGCAAGGATTGTCTACTTATTTTCGTCTTTATCAGTAAGAGAAGCTCATCTTTAATCCCTATCATTGGGCAAGGATTTGAGAAGCAGCTCCTTAAATACAACAGGATATGGCTGAGTTTTTTTCTTATCTGGAATGAATGTTACTTAAGAGGTACATTCCAGAGGCTAAGAAGTGAGTACGAGATGATAGTGAGAATCATTAGAGGAATTAGAGTAGATAAACCATTTGCAGGCACCAGGGAAGTTCAGTTATGCTATGTGATGGTGCTACCTAGAGCCCAAAATGACAAATTAAAGAGTTATTGTTTTGTGGTGTATCTTGGGGGTAATTAGGATACATTGTAGAACAGTTTAATTGAGAATGGGTCTAGAAAAACATGGATTGAATAGTGTTATGTAGCCAGAAAATCCAGACTGTTGGAGGCATACATGTGTATCAAAATGCTCTAAAAAATTATATCTGTATCAGTGTGGCTGTGAGCACTTGACTAGTAGATGAAAAAGACATGGTGGTGGTGGGGGGAAAGCATCCAGAAGGTGTTTCATCCTGTTTTTCAGAACATTGTGGTTGCTCAAACAATATTAATGGTCGATGATGAAGATGGTAGCGAGGATGATGATGATTAATGCAACCCATGGAAAAATAGGGCTGGAGAGGATGACATAGATGAGGAACCTGGAGAGGGAGGATGACTCACGCGTGAGGGGTACCTGGGGATAGAGCGGTGTAGTGTGCACGTTGGCGAGCGTAGGGGGTATATGCTGGGGCACGCGTGGCGCGGACCTGGGGAGTGGGCGGGTGGCTGCCCGTGGGCGGAGCGGCTCCCGGTCTGAGTGGTTGGTAGCTATGTCTGCGAGAGCAGTAGCATCACCCAGGAGCGAAGCTTCCGAGACTCCGCCTAACTGACACCAAACTCTCCCTCTCCCTCCCGCAACCCCAAACTGGAGGCTGCCGAGCTGGGGAGCAGCTTTGGCGGCCGCGGCCGTCTCAACCCCAGCCCCGCCCCCGCCCCGCGCACCCAGCCCGCGACGCCCAGATCCGCGGAGGCTGGATCGAGCCCTCGCCCCCTCGCCGCGCCTCCGCCGCCCGCCCCCGCCGGCCAAGGCTGGGCTGCGGGAGGCGGCCGGACGGCCCCGAGCCTCGCCAGGGCGACCAAAACAAAGGCAGCATCCGGGGCTGGGTGGATGCAAACAACCATGAAAGACTGGGTTCTCTCTCTCTCCGGCTCTGCTGCTGCCGCCGCCGCTGTTCCTCCTCCTCCTCCCGTGGCCAGGAGGGCTCCGCTGTGAGGGGGAAGCAGGGGCGCAGCTGCTGGGCGTGAATCCGAAAGGTGAGAGGCAGAGAGCAAGAGGAGGGGGCGGGCAGGCCACGAAAATGTCCTCGGCCGTGGGGCCCCGCGGTCCTCGCCCACCCACAGTGCCTCCCCCCATGCAAGAGATGCCGGACCTGAGCCACCTGACCGAGGAGGAGAGAAACATTATCATGGCAGTGATGGACCGACAGAAGGAAGAGGAGGAAAAAGAAGAAGCCATGCTCAAGTAAGCCATTCCCAGCCTCGCCATCCGTGCCTCCTGCCTCCATCGGTCCATTCACCACTCACTCACCCAATCCTCTCTACTGAGTGTGGGGGAGGGGCGGGAGGGTGCTGGGCGCGGGCGGAGGCGCCCGCCTTAGGGCCAGGGGCGCTGGGCTAGAGCTGGGAAGAGGTTATGAAGACAGGAGGAAGGATGAGATGCCACAGAGCCGGGAGCTAGCAGAGGATGGTTTGAAATTGGAGTGTACAGGAAGATAGGGTGGACAGAGGCCACCCTGGTGGTGGGATATGCAGAAGCTGAGAGGGGCTGAACCCACCCAAGTGCTAGGGCCATAGGCTGGGGGCAGGGGATGTAGAGAATACGGGGAGGTGGGAAAGGAGAGATGCTGAGAAAGCTCCTCTTCTATTCTTGGAGTTCTTTTAGCAGGTTGGGGTTACCACAGTGAAGGGTGCCAGTATTTATATAATACAAATGATTCTTTTCAGTGTTCATTTTGTTATTCATTCATCTCACAGATCAAGGGATCAAGGTTGGGTCTTTTTTTTGGGGGGGTCGTTGCCATCTTTGGTAACCTGCCTCCCAGTTTCTATTTAACCTTTTTATCCACACTTTTGTACACAGTATACCTGTGTGAAGGCAAATTTTCTTACCCATATAAAATGCCATTGCAATGCAAAGTTTTAATAACGGTAGAAGCTTGTGGGAACTCTGGTCTGAATAAAATAAAGACTTCTCTTTCCTTGTTTCCAAGACACTTCTGGGGCCTGCTCAGTTCCTTGTGGAAACAGTATATAGGGATTGCATATTTGCAGCCTCCCTTATGTAGAGCCCATCAGCCCTTCAAGGGATTTCTACCTGGTGTCCCATTTTCCTGGGGATGGGAAGGGATGGGCTCATCGCTGGTGGTGCAGAAGTGTGTGACACTGCCATGGTGGTGGCTTGCCTTAGCCTCAGACAAAACTGCTTACAAGGTACTAGCACAGATACTGGGTTTTCCTTGCTCCTTACTATCATCAGTATAGTGGAGCTGAAGGGGACAACCCAACCTTCCCTTTAGAGGTCTTGAAAGTTTTCATCTCTGGAGCAGGGGCATTTAGAGTCCCTGACAGGGACCAGTTCTTTGATGTCCCCCTCTTAGGCCAGAAGGTGTATCTGGAGGCAGGGGATGAGCATCGTGAGATAAATGGAACCTGTTGCATTTGGAGTTAACTGGTAGCAAAGAGAGGGAGCAGAGGTGACACCCGGCACAGCACATCAAGCACAGCTCCCCCCCACCCCCACCCCCCAAGCTTGCTTCCTGAAAAGAGGATGATGCCACAGAAGATCCCGCTTCCCCTCAGTGCAGCAATGCCTCTAGGAGAGGAATGGAAGGAGCCTGCATTCACAGGCTTATCAGCCCCCCCACCAATGTAACAGCCACTGATGTAGGGAGTGGGGCTTTGGAGGGATGTTGAGATATGTATCTGGTTACAGAAAATAGTGGAAATCTAACCCCTCCTGCCCTTTCATTGGAGACTCAAAGAGGGCCCATAAACTTGGAAGGTCAGAGCTGACCTGACTTTATTAAGATCAGCAGGTTTCTGAATTCCCTCCTACTTCTCATCCAAAAAAAAAAAAATACTTTAAGCCTGTTGGCTTGGGGAAGGCAGAACCTTCATTAAATGCTGCCTGTCCCTAGTGAACGATGATGTCCCTGGTGCTGCAGGCTTCCCCTCTTCTGAGATTGGAAGTAATGAATGGTGTCTGATGATACTGCTGTCTGTCTGTCTAGTTGTCAGTCTGTCTGTCCTCACTGGTTGCAGCTTCTGCCACCTGTCCTGGACACCTTTCTGCTGTTCAAGATATACAGGTTTCCTGCTGTTCGTTTTGATGTTCATTGCAGACAGTAGGTGGACGGATGGAGGCTTCCAAAAGTCAGTGGAAAATACAGGCTGCTGCTTAACCAAGTTCCAGTTGGAAGGGGTAGGCACAGTGCAAGTGGTAGCCATCCTGACTCTTCATGTTTCAGGAATGGTAGACACTGAGGGATTTTAAGTGAGAGAAAGTTTTAGAGCAGAACCTTTTATCTGCTAATTACCTAAAGTCAACAGTTCCAAGATTATAAGGGTTTATGAGGACGAACCAAAATTTGGAGGACCATCCAACTGTAATGTCTAAAGTATCTTTTCTACTGTTGTTCCTGTGATTGTTTTTTATTTACTTGCATTGTTGTTTTATTGTAAAGTTTCATAAAATATTGCAGTATATGATGCTGTTATACAACAGACCTCTATAATCCCAGACTTCTGCATTAACTTTATCAACCAGCCTCATCTGCTAATGCCCAGGCCTTTGTGCAGTGGCAGATTGGTGAGTGTTTAGAATCCCAGTTTCTTGCCATGTAATCATGCCATATTGTCCACAGTTAGTGAAATGGTTCTGTACTTTTTCCCAGAGGGTACTTTGTGTCTTAACTGTGAGGACAGACCATGGGGATTTCACAGATGACACGTCTATATGAGGATTTAGTGACACATAGTCATAGATGGTGACCTTTTCCAAGTTACATAAAAAGAGATTTAGAGTACAGGATGGTTTACAAAGGACTTTGAAAAATATGCTAAGTCAGAAGTAATTTTTCATGGTAATGCTTAATCCATCATATCTCATCTCTGAGAAATTACTTTCATAAGAGGTCCTATAAAGGTAACATTCTAGTAACAGAACAATTAGACTTTAAACTCACTTCTGTAATTGCTGAAAATATCACCTTGAACTAAGTACCATGTATGATCTCTTTCTTTATGATGTACAAAAATAGTCATTAATAAAGAGATAATAGAAGACTGGTAGGTGAATATGAAAAAGCAGTATTAAAATATCAGTTAAGATATATTTGTATAATTTCGCTTCCTTGATTGTAAATTACAACCTGAATTCTGTTTTGATAATATCTCTTAATGTAGATCAGTTTGAAAAAGAATCAGGCTGCTTGCCTCTTGAGACTTAAAAAAAAAAAAAAAAAAATTAAAATCATTGTAAACATACTCATTTTGTAGCCAAAGTTTACTAGTTTTGCCATATAAGTAGAGATAATTAACTCTTGTAAATTATTTTTATCATTGATTTAATGATATGCAACTAAGAGGTGTTTTCTTAATCTTAGTAGATTTTTGATGTGAGTGTGTATGTGTGCTCCTGCCTGTGTGTTCTGGTGGCTTTTCTAAACCTAACTTCCTCAATGAATACTTCTTCAAGTAACTGTCACCAGACACTATCAGCCAATATATTATATGGGTTAGAAACTGCATTATCTGGAACCTAAATCAGAGAATATCTCATTAGATCTAAAATTGTATTCCTATTTTTATGAAAGCATTGTAGAAAAAGGAGTTACAGAATAGTAAGAGAAAAAATAGAAGTAGAGAGTTGAAGGGATGGTTTGACATTGGGAGTTTCTAAGAAACATATATTACGAGGGGGCTTCAAAAAGTTTGTGGAAAAATTTCATTATCTTTCAATTCCATTTTTCCTGGAACTTTCTGCAACCCCTTCATAGTAATAGTCACTAAAAATAGCTAACATTTATTGACTATTTATGTCATATGCCACCATTATTCTTATTCTTTATTTAACTTAATACCGAGTAGCTTAAACTATGCTCACATATATATATATTTATGTTTTAAATACATTTACATATATAAAGGTAAATGTAATATCTCATTTGATTCTTACAATGGTCACTGCAGCAGGTAAGTCAGATAATATTCATATAACCTTCAAAGATCTATGTTACACTCAGAGATCTAGTCATTTAGCATGGCCCAATTAAGATTCACACTCAGACTATTTATTATAAGTCCAAGTGTCTTCCCACACATTCCATTGTCTTTGTACCAAGAGGAGGCTTCCATTTTAGTGCTTTTTCCTTAAATGGATTTCTGGTCCTTCCTCAGTGTCAGAGAAGTGGTTTGGCAAAAGGTTAGGCTGATTCCGAAGATCAGCTTCTGATTATAGGAATGCCTAGAGCTTTACACACACTCATTATTAGAACTTTCCTGTAGATTGAGGGAAAGGGAATTGTTTTCAATTCAAAGATAATAAAAAGAACAATGAGTCTAGTGGAAAGACCATTAACTTTGGAGGTAGGTATTTCAGGATTCTAATCTAGTCCTGACACTTACTGTGTGACTGGGGGACAAGCAAATTTTATTGAGATTACGTGTGCTTCCATTTTTACTCTGAATCCTGCAACCTATGATGTTAATTGGTATCTAAAGAATATTGACTTAGGACTTTCACTCTTTTCTTAGCACTTAATTTTCAATCATCTGTAATGTTTACTTCTCTAGAGGAGATAAGAAGTAGAAGGAATAGAGGACTGTTGAAACTTCAGTTTTTCCATCTCCTTTTCCTTCCTTCAACCATTAATAACATTATGGCTTACAATGTATCCTAAGCCATATGAGAGACCACAATGAGAGTAATTTAGAAAAGAGGGAAAAGAAGGCAAACAAACAAACAAATAAAAAACCTGGGAAGAATGAAGATAGAGTCCCCTTGTATACTAGTATTATATTTCCTAGGGAATTTGCAAAGATTTTCATGTCTTAAACTCCCAAATATTCATCACATTGTTTAGGCAGGAATGAGTGGGAGGAAAAAGGAAAGAGGCCAGGAATGAAGAGATAAAGGGACTGAATGAAGAGAAAGAGGGATTAAAACATGAGCAGGTATCTACCTGTTCCAAGATGCTGTATTAAGTAGAAAAGACTTACTCAGAGAGATCTTACTTAATATTCACCCAGGGTCTAATCTCCTTTACACCATTAATGAATAGGGTCAGACTTGGGAATATTAACCTTGAATTCTGTTGAAGTTTGCCACTTCCATAACACAAATGACCAAAACTATCTTAGTTAATGTGTGTGCTATCATATAGAGGAAATATAGAAAAGGGAAGGCTGAAAAATTAACAATGCGAGGAATTACTAGAGAGGATAGGGCAAGACATACAACCA